ATCACTTAACACTCCAAGCACAGTGGGTGAATTCACAGTTACTTCCATTTCACTGCTTAGCTAACTTTATGCGAGTGATAAATGTGGAAAAACAAACATTTTTAGCAGACTATAATGCTGCAAATTTCAGGGTCTAAATGATCATCAAGATCAATTCAATTCTGAATAGCTTTGGACTCATTATATTGAAGGTCTATTTTACAATTTTTGTGCTAGTGACAAACACTCGTTAAATCAACTTCAACAGTTTGTTTTACTAGATAAAACCATGATATACATAAAAGATGACTAAAATTCAGAGTACTACAGATGTAAAAGCCACTAAGAATAATGTAGAAAATATTTTCCCATAATTGGCATTGCATCAGTCAAAAATCAGGACATATCAGACACAATGTCTTAGACATGCCAATACAGAAATCAGACACAGCTCTTCATGTACTTTCACTATACAATGTAGATAGGCAATAAAAGTCATAAAAAAAAAATTGATTTAAAGTACCCACAAGAAATAAAATACAAGCACATGTAAAATACAAATACTTACAATATATACATACTCTTAATAATTATAAGTATTAAAATTTTGTAAATTATATGATTACACAAGTTCATTTAAGTGCACGAGAGTCTCTGAGGTCTAAAATAACATGCGAGCCTGCATCCATACACCCACATCCACCTACCCCACCCCCACACACCCCTCACACACTTACACTAACACACCCATACCAGTGCACCCAGACTCTTAGAGCCAGGAGAGGACCTAGTAGCAACCAGCAAAGCAGCAGGGCCAGGAACTGTGACTCAACTCCTGCAGCCACATACTGCAATGCGAGTACACCAACACACCCACAACCATGCACCCCCCACCCCAACACGCACCCACATATGAGTGAGCACACCCACACACACAATCACACACACACAACACAGCAGAAATTACTCAAAAGGAACCAACAATAGTCAGCAGTCATGTACTAAATTTTGAGTACCTGGTGGAAAAGGGAATGGAGAAATAATAAATGGAGGAAGCAAGCAACAAAAATGGGATTATAGATGGGGAGTGTCATTATGATGGCATAAGAAATTTCTGAGTGAAATGAAACAGGAGAGGAAACTGGAAGACAAAGGTATACAAGGAAGAATGGAGGTAAAGTGTCAAAGTACCAAGAGGCATAGGGAAGATTCATACCAAACATTAAGAATAGAAACAGGAAAAACAGAGTGGATGGTTTAATCAGGAAAGCAGAGGCGCCAACGGGTGCTGAGAAACAAGCAGTTAAAAACAAATACATATACAAGATTAAGAAGAGAAAGAAAGATAGTGTGAAGATGGTACAGCATCAAAGACCAAACCTGAACCAAAATTATGCCACAGCTACATAAGAAAAAAGATGACTGAAGGACCAAATGATAAGGCTGAGAAAAGGTGTCTGACAGGGAATGCCAGAAGAATGTGAAGTACCTAACAAAATGTTCAGAGAAATCTTCACAGAGGAAAGTGGAGAGGTATGGAAAGGCACTGTAGTCAGATCATAACAGGTGCAATAGAGCATCAACAAAACATGTGATAATACCAAATGAGCCAGATGTAATAAAAGAAATGGGACTAGATAACACATCAAAACAACTGTGACCTACTAGAAATGGTATTCAAACCAATCTTTCCAATGAGTACAACTACCTGAAAACAGGAAATGTGAATGTGATCCCTATTTAAAGGGGAAAAAAAATGGTGACAGACAGGAAGTACTTTTGGGACATTCTGAAGAGAAGTTGCCAAGGTTGTTAGACAAAATTGGGAGGGCATGTAAAACAAGGAAATTAAAAGTGAACATAAGAAAGAGCAAGGTGATGAGTAACAAAAAACAATTGCAAAATGAAAGATTGGATTTCAGAAGGAGGGAGGGAGTATAAAGAAAGTTAATGTGGTCAGATATTTGGGAGTGGACTTGTTGGCAGATGGGTTTATGAATGACGAGGTGAACCATAGAACTGATGATAGGAAAAAGGTGGGTGGTGTAGTGAGGCATCTGTGGAGACAAAGAACGTTATCCATGGAGGCGCTTGGGCATCCAACAGGCATGCATGTGCGTGTTAGACAGGAGTGGAGGCAAGTGGTTTTTATGATATGATGCGATGTTGAAGTGTGAGCAAGGTAACATTTATGAAAGGCTTCAGAGAACCTGGTTAACCAGGCTTAAGTCCTGGAGGTGAGAAGTATAGTGCCTGCACTCTGGAGGAGGGGTGGGGATACTGAAATTTGGAGGGCATCTGAGCTGTAATGTCGGAATGCCTCTAACAAGACAGTGATGGAGTGGATGAAAGTGAAAGTGTTTCTTCTTTTTCAGGTCACCCTACCTAAGTAGATGGCCAGTGTGTTAAAGAAAATAAAAAGGTACTGAATTACAGGTCAGTATCTCTCACTTGGAGGGTAAGATTCTTTACAGAAACCCAGCACAGTTTTAGGGATTAAAAATCCTGTCTGGAACTCTTTGACAGAGTCACAGATTAATAACAAGAAATACAGGGCTGGATGAAATGAATCTTCTTGAGATTGTAAACAATCATTTGACACAGTACAACAACAGAGTTTAGTTTAGAACTTAGAGGAACAGGCTGGGTTAAAAGGCAGAATGCTCCAGTGGGTCAAGGAGTACTTGAATGACAAAGCATAACAACAGTATAGGGTGAGAAATCAGACTGGGAGAGAGTAACGAGTGGGGTTCCTCAAGATTCAATGCTGGGACCACTACTGTTTTTAATCTATATTAATGACCTACCTGAAGGGATTGAGCTCTATGTCACTGACTGCTGTTGTAAAACTAATTAGAATAAGAACAAGAGAGGAAGAGGAAGTGAAGAACTTCAAGGATACCTCAACAGGCTGCAGATGCGGTCAAACAAGTGGCTTCTAAATTTATTCCAAACAAATGCAAGGTCATGCAATTTGAAGGGGGAGGGCAGACACAGTACAGCATGGGTGAAGAGAAGTTGAAAATTTCAAGAGTGAAAAAGACCTTAAGTAAATATAACAAGGATATAGCTGCAATTACACAAATTGTATAATGTGAGCTGCATATACATGATTACCAAAACCTCAGAACAGCATTCAGGAATTTCAACAAAGAAGCCTTCAAACTTTATATGCATGTATGTTAAGCCAGTCACTGAGTGTGTGACCACAACAGAGCCTACACCTGGTCAAGCACATGCAGAAGCTGGAAAACAGGTCCAAGGTTTGCATCCAGGCTAGTACCAGAACTGAAGGAAATGCACTGGGGCAGCAAAGTTGAAGAAACTGAATCTGGTGATACACAAATAACCCGCACATAGAAGAGAGGAGCTTACGATGTTTTTTATGAATCTGGTGACCTTGGCAAAGAAGGACAAGAGAGGACATAATTACTGAACAAACTGCTAAGAGGAATTGATAGTACAGATAGAGACAGGTTGAATTAAGAGTTCCAGGATCACATGAACCAGAAGAAGCTTAAGTCACAGAAGAATCCTAGGGATGCAAAGAAGTACCTCTGGGCTCAGGGTGGTTGAGAAGTGGAATGACCTGGAAGAGTAAGAGGCGAGGGCAAACTTAGCACTCAGCTTCAAGAGTAGATATGGTAAGGCCAAAGAGGCCACAAATCACTGACTTTGCCAAAGTCATCTAGGAGGAGGGGCCAGCAGCAGTTTTGACCCTTGAATATAAATACATGATGCTTAACTGTGATGCAGAATTATTTTAGGCTACCATAATGGAAAAGGGTAAGAGTGGAAACAAACATTAGGTAGACTGACAAAATGTTATAAGCCTATAAGACAGAAAAAGATCTTATGATGATTATAAATAACCTCTCTCCAGAGGACAATATCAAGGCTGTAGAGACTCCAAGTCCTAGTAACTTTAAAATTAGCTTTCAAATACTATATATAGTTGAAGAAATTCTGAACATTCTGTTTATAAAGTATATGAATCCTAAGTCAGAATACAAAGGTTCAGTATGGTGTGTGAGCATTAAAAAGTACAGTACATGTATATGGATAAAATGTAATAAGTAAAAAAAGGAAAAATTTATTTCAGTTAAAAAATGTGATTACAAAGATTACAAATTTTAAAAATAACCTAGCTGGAAGACAGGATAAGACCACAATAAAGAACCACATTAAAAGTACAAGAATGGTATACAATACCGACAAGATGAAATTGAGACACGTGCAACATCTGGGTATCTTTATAGTATACGTTTCGCCATCCAGTGGCTTTATCAATACAAATTCCAGGACATAACTTGAAGACAGGAGAACTATGTACAGAAGATGAGGTAATCAGTCCCTCAACCTAGCAGTAGGTGCTCTTCGCACCTACTGCTAGGTTGAGGGAATTTGTATTGATAAAGCCACTGGATGGCGAAACGTCTACTATAAAGATACCCAGATGTTGCACATGTGTCTCAATTTCACATTAAAAGTAGTTTGAGATATTTTTAACCAACATGACAGAGAACACGAGGCAACAATTTTAAATTAAAAAATAATATCAATTTACAAATCTTGAAAGATGATTGGACTGGGCCCCAATAGGAGGTACCATATTGTGTTCTGAAATCACTTGAAAATTAAGAATTCTCTCGACTAATGTTAAATTAATTAAAGACGACATAAACATATCTCTACTCCTGTGACTATCAACAGGTAGAGTATTAACACAAAATCACATGCATATATACAGAAAATCAATCCTGGAAGCACAGCATAATAATTTAGCATAGCAACAATCACAATTAAAGCATATTGATTAGCATGCACAGAATATGAAGCATAATGACCTACCTTCCACACATGACCTCCCTGGAGGTTTTCCATCATACCACCATTTTCATAGGTCATTTAATGCTAGCTATATCCACCTGTACAAGTCTACATCTATCTATCCATCATACTTATGAACAGGCAGGGACAGGAGCTGCTTAAGGACATTTAATTATTTTAACACTTCTCACCTGCAGTTTTATCAGGAGGTTTTCTTCTAGTGGACTTTGCAGCTGGTTCCTGGGTATCATCATTAATACTCGAGGCACTGCTGCTTTCTGATTCATGTCTACGTCTCTTGGTACCTCTAGTGGCAGGACTGACACTCGGCCGCAACACTGGGACAGGGCTTGGCTTCCCCATAGACAGCACACTTGCAGGACTTCTTCTATCTACTTTAGGACTCAATTCTGCCCCTGGACTATTCACTTTTGGGCTAGCTAACCTTATACTTTGCCTGGTGCTCCTTGTAAGTCGTTTATCATCTGGAAGGGTGGGATCCGCTGGTGGTATCTCTATGGAAAGTGCATCGAACTTCTTATCTTTGGTTTTAGACTTAACACCAACACAATCATCTTTTTCCTTATCCATTTCCAAAATGTCACTTTTTTTTATTCATGTGTCCTTCACACTCAGAAAATATTTTAGCCCTTTTTTTGTCTTTATCTTCAGCTCGTTAAACTTTTTTTTTTTCTTTCTCTGTTTCCAAAGTGTAAGTGGAGGGGTATTCATTGGGGGGTTCCCCCCTGGGGAGACAGCACTTCGGGGCTTTTGCAAGATTAGAGTCTACTTCAATTATCTCGGGCCCTTAAAATTTTCTTTTCTTTAGTTCCCTGGGATGTAAAATTTAATTCGAGGTAATTAAGAACCAAACAAAATCCAAGTCTTTTTCATCTCCTTTTCCTTTGTCTGGACCAAGGGGCACGAGCGAACGGGTGATGGGGTAGCCACGCTGGAATGTGGTGAATTTGGAGCATTTAAGTGAGCCTGAGGGGGGAGGGGGACTGATTCTTCATTCTTTTTAACGGGGGGGTTTGTAAAAAGGCTGTTTTTGGGCCCCCCACCTTTTTGCCAATAACCCGGTTTTAACCGTCCCCACTGTCTGCCCCAAATTTCCTGATTCACCTTGGTCAGCGGGCCTTTTACTGGTAAACCCCCACTCCCTTAATTGCACTGGGGGGGGGAGCCATGGACTGTTACCGGGTAGGGCCACTAACCGAAAAGTTGTCCCGGAGGGGGGTTTGGGGGGGTAACTAACCCTTGATTTTTTATTTGGCTGGGTTTTAAAAAAAAGTTCCCAAACCTTGGCACCTGACTGATGTTGCCACAGTTGTTGTGTTTGTTTTTGTACGGGCTCTGCTCGAGGATAAGTGATATACTACTGCCAGGCCAGAGATAAAAAGTAGGTCCCTTATCAACAGCTGACAAGATGAAACATGGGGGAAGAGAGGTGAGGTGCACAACTTTTGGGGGTCTAGTCAGTTTTATTGCAATAGTGGGGTTTTGGGACACGAACTGACAGTTGCTGTAGTTCTGCTTTGGAGAGTGGGCACTGGGGAAAACAATGAAATTTTTTGTAAAGGGATGAGGGGTAGGGAATGGAGACCAATGCAGTTGTGACGAAGTAAAAGAGTACGTTTGGTTGGTAAGACTGTGTGTACTAAAGTATAAGAAAAAATAGACAGTGGGGTGGGAAACAGGGAGCAAAGAATAAATACGTAAGACGGGAACATAACACAGTTATGATAAAAGGGAAGTTGAAAGGGCCAAAGCTTGTTTTATTGAACGTGAAGGTGGGATTTCAAACTGGGGAAATGAAGGAGGGTAAATAGTATATCAATGAGGGTGAACTTCTTGGTGATGAATAAGAACAAGAGATATAGAACCGTGGCGAAAAGGGACAGAAAAAATTTTAAGACACTATGAGGGTGGGCAACCTAATGAACTTGGCGAAGATGTTCCGACCAAGAAAAAGAAAGTGGATGAAAAACTAGGCGAGTAATTAACTAAAAAATGAAAAACTGACTGGTGTGCGTCAGAATGGGAAATTGGTTGAAGTGAAAATGATGAAAATGTCTCACACCTGTTGACCAACAGCTGTGCCGGAGATGCCCCTTTCCATAAGGTTCACAATTTTTTTTCAGCCAAAAGGGAATTTGGGAATATTTCTGATGGAATATTAATCACAACAGACTCCAGGGGTTCCTTCACTTTTTTTAGAAAGATTCTGGAAGCAAAAGTGCTTCAATTATCATTTTCTTTTCTGCTGCTACTTTGTTTCAATATCAACCCAAAATTCACTGTTTTGGAACTCATTTTGTGGTCAGTTCACTATCAGAAATTCTGTGTTGAACTTCTCTTTCATTTTGATCTAAATTTCCCGAGGTTTTGACTTTTATCTCAACTTTTGGGACTCACTCTATTCTTGAGTGAAATTTCCCGACCAATTTACGCTCATTTGTGTAAATCATTACAGGTTTACTCTTTTCAGTTCTTTCACTTGAACTTTTATCGGAAATGCTCACATTCTTTGTCATCTCTTCTACTAGGACTTTTTTCACTCTGGGTTGGGGGGTTTTTTCTGAAAGGGCTCCTAACTTTTCCAAATTCTTCTCCACCCCGTCCACACCCGTTCCCCTTTTGGGGTTCCCATGGGCTTTCTACTTCCCTTTTATCAAAAAAAAAAAAAAAAAAAAAAAACAAAATTTCCCGGAAAGCTGGGGTTTCCCGTCCAAAACCTTTGTTTTTTCAGGTTCCATTTAACACTAGTATCACGCTGTTTGAGAATTTAACCCCTTTTTATGTGTGGGTCTTTATTTCATTTTTTCTCACTTTTTTAAAACCTCAAAATTTTAAAAACCTTTTTTGGATTCCATTTTCTTTGGATTCCCCTTTCACTCCCAAAGGGGCGTTTGCTCTCAGACTGAGAAGACAAGCACGTAGTTGAACTGTCATAGAGTTAAAGCGTTTTTTTTAAAAAAAATCATGGGCTTTTCTCTTTGGTTTAGTATATTTTTTTTTTTTTGTTAGAGCTCTGCGAGCTCTTGAGTGCCTCCTGCAATGCTTTTCTATCATTCACATCCAAGTGAGTCACTCTCCCCACTTTGGTCACTTCACTTTTACATTTATTTGGGCTCCTACTCTCACCATCACTGGATTTACTATAACTCAATGTTTCATTCTTAGTCACACTGTGGATGGTGATATCAGAATTTGCTTTTAAGCTTGCTAAATCTGTACACACAGTATGCTTAAGAACATCCAATTTCTTAACACCTTTTTCATTAGAATCTTCATGACGAAGGGAGGGCAACTTCTCCGGTGAGTGTGAGACCTTATTGATCATCACTGAAGAATTCAGGTACTTGGGGATGTTGCCCAGGCCTGTTAAATAAGAACATGAATATCAATACAACATAATTTACAGTGAAAACATGGTACAAAAAATCTAACGTACTCTGTATACTAGTATAAATTTATACAGTATAACTACAGGTCAGAGGTCAATATTTTGACAAAATTTAGGAATTTGCCAGTGAGCCTCTGAAGTCAGTCAGATATATGATCTTTTAGACGAGAAAACCCCTGCATGCACTGGAGTAAACTCAAGAATGTCAAGAATACTTCTTTCAGGCATAAAGACATTTAGTGCAAACTAGGTGTAGAGGAACCCTGTATGCAATTATGTGACTGGTGTGGAAATAAGCATTTTAATTACATTAGCAAAATATTACATGATTTTAAACTGGCTGTTTCATTTACTGCAAAAAATGAAATCCACAATACCGTGACTGTAACAAATCACAAGCCTACAAATCAGCAACAAGAACCTGGATACTTTGGTTACTCCTGGATTATTGTTAATATATATTTGATAATGGTCCAGGATAAACGAAAACACACTAACCAGCTTTTATTTAATTTGCAAACATCTGTTTTGTCAAGTGTTGTTGTTTCTGTAATAAATTATCAAAAAGAAAGTAGAAAAGACTTTCATTTTTTCATTTTCCTCTTCTACAGAACACATTCTGTAAACACAGGTATCTTAACCTTTTCACTGTGTCCAACATACCAGTACACAGGTTATGACTGTCTCCAAACATTAATTATGCACACGTTTTCATGCCCTCAAATATGCCACCTGCCAATATTTTTGACCTCAGATAAACTGCTTGGGTCTCCGACAAACTCTTTATGCCTTTAAAAAAAAATCTAAAACCAAGCAGTGCATCATGTGGTAACATTGCTTAATTAGCATAAGTAAAGAATGAAACCAGGATCTGTTATTCCAAAACCACCTTTCCTATTAGCAAACAAGGTGTGGAAATTGCAGAAAGATGCCTTATTCATTCCAAATTTATTACAATTTCATAATACTATATTAACAGTGGAATTCAGCCAAAAATGTTTACTATAGAGCATCAACCTAGGATAACCTATTATAGTCAAATTATGTGACTTACTTTCATGTTTTGAGGAGTATTATGCCCAGAAACAAATGTAGTATCAGAGCTAGTCATTGTAAATAGTGCTAGAAGACTACGGCAGTAACAAATGAAAAAAAAAATTTGCTCCAATTGATATTGCATAGTATATTCCAGACTGATGAAGCCACTGTGTGGCAAAACATTTCTTCAATAAAGATTCCCATGCGTTGCATAAGTGTCTCAATTCTTCAATTTCTCAGTTTTCAAAACTATTCATCACCTTCACACAAACCTCTATGTATAAAATTTCTCATGTTTTACAATTATTATTTCCCTTTAATAGTTGAATCCAGTTTCCCATTAAATATTTTTTGATCAACATTATTTCTATAATTTATTTCCAGAAATATATTTATAATTTGTATCTAGCCAAAAAAAAAAAAAAAATCTGGTGCTCCACTAGAGATATTTAGTAACAAAATTGGCATCACAGCAATGGGATGCCAGTGACAATTCACTCAATGGAATGAGGTTTTGAGCTCATTGCTAGTCAGTCTTTAAACTAGCAGGCAAGTGAGTAATAGCTTCAGCTTTGGGACTGGCTTGCCATGGGTTCGAACCTCATTCTGCTCATCGAACTTACAATCATATTATGATTTTGCGAGTCATCACTGACAATACTGATGAAGTGTGTATAAAATGCAGAAATAAAAGGTACAGTGTCTCTTCTTGGAGAGTCCACATTTAGACTCTCCAAGACGACACACTGCAATGAAATGTACAACTTGGCAAGACATAGATGAATTTTTATAGGTAGAGAACATCAGTGTCACAATATTGTATAAAAGTACTACATAGCAAGCAGAAACAAAAGTGACACTGTGGTATGCAGTTACAATGTGTGTTAAGGTCTGACAAATACTGTACGAAGTCCCTCCCACTGTGGTACTGTGGGCACAATGCTTCTCTTCAATGAAAGAAAAAGGGGTATTTATGTTTTTATGGATCCAATAAATCCCTCCCTTCTATAAATAAACATATGCATATACATACACACATACATACACAAGGGCAAGACAGTGATGGAGTGAGTGATGATAAAAGTTTTCATTTTTCGGGCAACCCTGCCTTGGTGGGAAACGGCAGACTTGTTAAAAAAAAAAAAAATGTGTGTGTGTGCGTGTGTATATATCTATATATAAAAAAATCGCCAACACAATGCTCTCCAACGCCTCAGGAAAGGACAAAGCTCGTCTCCTGGCAGTGAAGGCACCACATTCAGGAGATTTCCTGTTAGCTGTTCCCAATTCCTCCTTGGGCACTCGACTAGGCCCACAGGCCATTCGGATTGGTGTTGCTGTTCGCCTAGCCGCCCCCATCCTCACCGAACATAGGTGTATTTGCGGCAGGGCGACAGCTGATCAATTCGGACTTCATGGTCTCGTGTGTCACACAGCAGAAGGAAAGTATGCCAGGCATGAGGAGGTCAATGACATAATAAAGAGAAGCCTCACCACAGCCCGTTGCCCAGCTCAACGGGAACCCCAAGTGCAGAGGTCTGACGGAAGTCTAAAGCGTCCTGATGGAGCCACTATGCTACCTTGGAAGGATGGAAAGCAGATTGCCTGGGACTACACATGTTTCCGCCACATTGGCAGATACCTACTTGCCATTCTCCGTAGTGGAAGGGGGTGGAGCTGCCAGCCACAGGGAGGACCCAGAAGATCCACAAATTGAAGACCTTCCCCTTGCTATAACTTCATCCCAATAGGGTCGGAGACCCTTGGAGCATGGGGCAAGTGTGCTCTAAAGTTCCTAATAGAGCTGGGTGAAAAGCTCATCAGAGAAACCAAGGACCACAGGGGACCATCTTCCTCTCTCAGAGACTCGTGTTGCGATCCAGAGAGGAAAAGCCTGCAGCATTCTGGGCACGCGGCCCACCACCGGGGGCTGGACGAAGTATTCGAGATGTAGCTCTGAGTTACCTATTGTGTTTTACTTTTCTATCGTTTTTTGTGAATGTTTTGTCAATGTATTTTGTCTTTATATATATATATGTATATGTGTGTGTGTGTGTGTTATATATATATATTTTTTTTTTTTTTTTTAAAATTTCCTAAATCATAAAAAAAAAAAAAATAAAAAAAAATACTATTATATCACAACCCCCCACCAAAACACCCACCAAACACTTTTTTAGAGGGGCTCTACCACCAAACAGGGTAAACAAAAAGTAAAACCAAAATCCCTTCCCAAAACCCCAATACCCCAACCCCGTTTTAAAGGGGCGCAGACCCCATTTTAGGATAATCGTATATAAGAAAAAACCTTTCCCCTAATTTTATAAATATTATTTAATTTAAAATTAATTAATAAATTTCTATTCAATTATTTAATACCATTTTTTAATAATTAAAAAAAAATTTTTTTAAATTTTTTAAAATTTTTTTAAAAATATTTAAATTATTTTTTAAAAAAAATTTTTTTTTTAAAAAAGAGAATTTTTTTTTAAAATAGAAAAAATTTGCCTTCTTTAAGGGGAAAACGGAAGGGGGGGGGGTTTTTAAAATTTTAAAATAAGGGGAAGGGTCGGGGAAAAGGGGGGGGGAACTGGGGAGAAAATTTTTAAAGGAAATCTAGGGCCCAAAAAAAGGGGAAAAAAATTTTTTTATTGGGATTATTTTGGAGTTAAAAAAAGTTTTTTTAAAGTTTTTTAATTGAAATGAGGGGGAAAAAAATTTGTGGGGAAGGGGTTTTGGGAAAATTTTAAATTATTTTTTTTTTTAAAAAGTGGGGATTCAAGGCAAGGTGCAAAAAGAAAGGAAAAAAAGGGAAAATTTATCCAAAATTTAACAGACCTTAAATTACTTTTTTGAGATTTTAAATAAGTAAAATAAATTTTTATAAAAAGATAAAACTTTTAAATCAATATAACCCCCTTTAAAGTAGGTTATTAGTTTTTTATTGGGGATAAGGTTAGGGGAAAACCCGGTTTCTAATCCCCAAAAATATTACGGTCAATTTTTAAATTTCCAGTTAAAAGAAATGAAAAAATAAACAACAGTAAGAGGATTTGGAAATTTTAAATTTAAAAAAATTCATTAACCCTTTCGAAGGGGCTATGCAAGTTTGGATTGGGGGGTTAATAGTTTTTTAAATGCATTTAGATTCAAATGAAATAATCAGGAAGTTTGGGGAATATAATAAATTTTAAATTAAAAAGGAATTTAAAAATTTAACCAAACAAAGGGTTTAAAAGGCAGTATTGGATAAGGTTAATACAAAGGGGTACAATAAAGTAGGTTGGTCAAAAATTTTATAAAATTTTTTGGTGATAAACAAGTTGACCTAGGAAAATTTTTCCCTTTTTCCCAAAAATTTATGATAATATTTTTGGGATCGATATTTAGAATTTTTAAAAAATTAAAAACAACTAATTTCATAAATTTGGGGAATTTTTACATTTTTTGATAGAAAAACATTAATTAAGTTACTAACTTTACGTAAATAAATAAATTAAGCATTTTTAAATTATAAGACAGTAATGTAAAAAGAGGGGGAATTTTATTTTGGGAATGTTGTACTTTTTTAAAATTTTGAACCAAAACCCTGGGGTTTGGGGAAACTTTACCCCCTTTATATAAAAAAAGGGGACAAAAACCCTGTAAATTTTTTTAAAAGGTATATTTCCCCCTTTATCTCCCATAAATGAGTTAATAAAAAATTATTTCGATGAAAATTTATTTAATTTAATATTGCAACATGAGCAAATTGTCCTATAATAAAATAGTTTTTTAAACCATAAATGATAAAAACCCATATAAAACGTATATAGCAATGTCATGTTCAATATTAAAATTTGGTAAATTTTAAATGCTGTAAAATTTTTGAATAGTACCCTCGGTAATTTTGTAAAAGGAAATACTTCGTTAAAATATTTAATGGGTTGTTGTCCCT